GAGGATTTCAGACCTGGAGAATAACACTGATGATGTTAAGAGCTTAAATTACACCCTTCTTACCCTGGCACCTCCACCACTCGTTTTTCTTCCCCTAATTCAGTATTTTGCTGTTTTAGAAATGTGGTGTATATACCCTTCTTGCCCCCCGGCCTCTATAGCACCCACCCACGCACTAGGAAACGGAGGAACCAGACAGTTTTTTTTTATATGTCCTTAATTCATTCTTCCTTTGTTTTGTAATTTGGTTAAGACTCGAGACGTCACGAGTTCGTGTTGTAGCCTCCCTTCATCGGATCATCATCATCATCATCTTATGTTTGGTGTATATATCTGGTAATACCGTAAACTTACAGGTAATGAGTCAGTTTTTTTTTGTTGGTAACACTTCTCAGAATCATTGTTTGTGTATAGAAGAATATTAAGAGATATGTTTGAGGACTGAGAGACTGTTAAACCATCGTCCTGAAAGGGTTAAACCATCGTCCTTAATGGGTTGAAATTTGTCCGCAAAAAAACTAAAAAAAAAAAAAAAAACAGACCATTGTAATATACTTCACTTTAATTCCTCTTTAATTTTTCTTCTCATTTGACTTACCTGTAAAAAAACCCAAGGAACTTTTCTTAAGAATTGAGCTTAATTCTTCAGTATCCTATAACACAGAACACGTCTTACCGTCAACTACAGGAAGAGAATTTAAGTTTTGATCTTAAAAGTATCCCAATTTATGTATGTTCGAAGTCTCTCTGGTCATTAAAAAAAAACAACGAGTCTTTTTTTTTTTGGTATAGAAGCTCAAGAGTACCAGAGACTCACCACCGTTGAGTCTAAGGAAGAGACTAGGATATTTTCGATACCCTCATTCTTGTTGGTGTTAGTTGGTTGAGGTGTAGTCTAGGGTGGCAGTGGACAGCAGGTACAAGGAAGCTTCGGTGACTGTCCTTGGGTTATGCATGAAGGTAACGCATCCTCAATCGTGTTTTTTTTTTTTTTTTTTTTTTAATCATTTGCCTAAACAACACCGCAGGTATAAGGTACGTCTGGAGGCTATATGTGTCTGTCTGTGTGTCTGTCTCTGTCTGTTTGTCTGTTTGTCTGTCTGTGTCTGCCTGTTTGTCTGACTGTCATGAAGATACTAGGAAAAAATAAATTGGTGGTTGTTGCATCTCTCCCAAATTTTCGAATGCAAGAGGTCAGAGGTCAACTCACATGGGGTCACTTAATAAGTATTGTGCCTTGGAAAATGCAGTGTAATCTAATTGGACCGCTGCTGTCAACCGTGGGAGAGTTTAAACCAGGAATCCCCAACTACAAAGGAGAATACCATGAACTTCTTGTGTGAATCATCTGGTGGGTGTAATAATCAAGCAAGTCTCTGAACCTAAATGAAGAAAGGTGTGGGGGGCAAGAACGTGTAAGATAGCTAGAGCCATTGTCAATCTCTATAGAACAGACGTGAGATAACTCCTGTATCTAGCGAATCTTCACACCGAAACACCACACTAAATTAGCCTTCACAGATACACTTAGAGTATATGGTGACAAACCTCGTATGTGCGTGTTGGTAAAATGACGACGTCTTCATCTTGATTCGTGAACGTAAACACACAAGGACTATCACTGGACACGGGTTTACTATACGACCTGAGGGCCTTGTGATGTGTTTGTCTCCTCTGCTTCGTCGACCTCTCCAGTATTGTCCTCCTGGGTTGAGTTAGGGAGGTATTGATTAGGTGTGGGAAGCAAGGGAATTTGCCTGAAGGTGTTGAGGTCGATAGTGGGTGTACAAGTAGAGAGAGGCAGGTCCTGACCCTTCTCCCGACCTACACGGTATAGTGGTGGTGAGGTGTAACCGCTGTTCACCTTGAGTTGTTGATGAATATTTGTTTGGAGAGAGAGAGAGAGAGAGAGAGAGAGAGAGAGAGAGAGAGAGAATAAATAACATACCACATGTAACTTTTAAGGCAGTATATGGGTAGACGGGACTTAAACATACACACACACACACACACACACACACACACACACACAGACACACACACACACACACACACACACACACACACACACACACACATACACACACACACACACACACACACACACACACACACAGACACAACAACAACTCAAACCATCAGAATTGTTACTAAGAATGAGCTGTGTTAAGTCCTACATAACCACAAACCAACTCCCCCAATAACCATTAAATATACAAATAATGAGATAAGTAACATTTAGTATCAACTATTATGGTGCACAACACAAGACCCTCTGATCACTCCTCTCCCCTCTATCAGTAACATGGTGACCCAATGACTTTCACAAGAGTACTACTTTCCAAGATGTCGTGGGGGGGGGCAGGTTTGTGGGCGATTTTTTCTCCTTCCAATTAAGCTCTTAACCTGACAAGAGGTGGACTAGTTGTGTCAAGTAGGGCGCAAGTTTCTATGTCAACAAGTGGGTACAAGTTGGATGACCTTCGGCAGGATCAGTGTTGAGGGAGTCGTGAGAAGTGTAACGCAATGGTGTGGTGTAGGCTGGCTTGTTGTTCCCGTGGACTGTGTGTGTGTGTGTGTGTGTGTGTGTGTGTGTGTGTGTTGACCACGTCCATTACGACGATGTTATGGATAAACAAAATTTGTGTTGTAAATAATAATAATAATAATAATAATAATAATAATAATAATAATAATAATAAAAACATTATCCAACCAGCTGCAAATCCTGACCATAACAGGATATATATCGAACTAATGACGCTTTTAATGTTATTTAATTCAGTCACCGCTAGAAACTGTCTCATCTGATCGTTTTCTTTAACACTGAAAAACTCTAGTTACTATGACAACCCTGGGTCAATTTTGGACCGTGTTATTTTAGGGACACACACACACACACACACACACACACACACACACACACACACACACACACACACACACAGTCGAGGTGGGAATGAGGCGAGACAAACACTAACGCAATGAGGACCTTCTGTTGCCTTTCTAACGTAACCTAACCAACTTTCAACCTCCCTATAGGACAGTTAGCACTCAGTAACATAAATCTATCTCACTTCTTTAACACAATGACCAGGGGATTATCTTACTTCCTCTGTGTCTCCTACAGAAGCAACCCTCCTCCTCTACACTACAGTATCCCGCCGTCAGTATATCACAGCTTAGTCGTGTAAACAAACAATTAAGGCTCTCGTTATGATCCAATGGTGCCAGTGAGCGTTCCTGCCTCTGATATGTGTGTGTGTGTGTGTGTGTGTGTGTGTGTGTGTGTGTGTGTGTGTGTGTGTAAGCCCTACCATCTACTCGTCTACACCAGCCTGGGGATCATGTGGGCCTGAGCACCTACCCGAAGGAGGCCCAACAGTGATCTCCAGCAGTAACTCTCGCCAGACAGGTTCCTGTTGTCAAGAGACTCAGGAACCACCTGCTATTATAAACATCATCACTATTACTCTTATTATTATTATTTATACTACCTACCACCTTTATTATTATCAAGATCTTCCCCTAAACCACATCTGGTTATCTCACTCCTACACTGTCCTGGTAGAGACGAGAGAACAAATATTTTATGTTATTGTTGAGTTTCTGTTGTGTAAAACCTTATACGCGTAAAGTCAGGGTGTCAGGTGTCAGGGGTCATACCCTTTCTGAGTGCTGGTGGAAGATTATCTATGGTGGTGGTGGACTGTGGTGGTGTTGGTGGATGGTGGTGGTGATAGTGGTGGTTGTGGATTGCGGTGGTGTTGGTGGATGGTGGTGGTCGATTGTAGTAGTGGTCGATTGTGGTGCTGGTGGTGTTTGGTTATGGTGAAGTGTGGTAGATTGTGGTTGAGTGTGGTGGTAGTGGATATTAGTTGTCCAGAGTACCAGTCACCCTGTACCAGGCAGAGGTGTGAGTGGCAGTCCCTCACTGGTACTTACCCTCCCTCCCCTCCCCCCCCCTCTCTCCTTCCCTCCCTCCCTCCATCCACTGTTTTAGTAAATCATGAGCCCTCTCTTCCCTCCCTTCTTCCTTGTCTGCCCCATCCCCCCACTCTTTCTCTCCCTGTCTCTCTTCCCTCCCTCTCCCTGTCTCTACTTTTATCCCTCTCTCACTCTGTCATTTTGTCTGTCTTTCTTCTCCTCTCACTGTCTTTCCTTATCTCTTTCTCTGTATTTTTCTCTCCCTCTCTGTCTCCGTTTCTTTCCAAGTGTCGAACACACACACAGACACACCCTTCAACCCATCAGACTACTGTCACTGATCCGTCCAATTACTCACTTAACAAAACAATCGTCAACAATGATTTATCACCACTCATATGCCCCATCCATCACCCAACACACAATGAACTGTCGACTTACAGTGTGTTGAGGTATACATGACACCCAGACAGAACTCCCCCGTCTGTTTATACTTTAGAGACGGGAGGTGTAGTCGGTACCCCAAATAATACGACTCCTTACCGACGTGAAGAATGTGCTTTGAAATTAATCTTACAATGTTGTGGGAAGGTTTTGCAAGTGTCGTGGCGTATAGGGGGCGTGGTAAAGGTGTATATATGGGTCTGGTGGTGATTATAGTGTGTTGGAATGTTGTCCATGATGCAAAAGTTGTTGGTATATCACTTTATTACCACGCGTTTTTTGTTTCTACTAGCTAGTGCTATTACTAATATTTAGAATAGTGTCACAGGTAATACAATAGTGCCACAAGTTATATTGATAATAGTGCTATAGCTAATACTCATAATAGTGCCATAACTAATATTCACACTAGTTCCACAACTCCTATTACTCACACTAGTGGCATAACTAATATCTCACACTAGTGCCATAAGTAATACTCACACTAGTGCCACAACTACTACGCAAACTAGTGCCCCACCCCCTGGCAGGCCGTGACGTAAGGCCAACAGTTGCCAGTTGCAAGAACGTTTTCTGAGGCGGCAAGTCGCTAGGTCGAGGGGTGGAGCCTCCTGGTGCCTCCTCGTTCCACTCAACAGCCAGTGAAGGTGGTGGTGGTCGTGCGCCGCGTGCAGTCAGCTGGCCAGTACCGCGTGTGGTGTCGTAGTGAGAGGTGGTCTATACCACTGCTCCGTCCTCCCCTCCAACACTAGAAAGAGACAACTTGTGAACTTGATCTCTCGCCAGCTTGACTCAGTAACGCAGGAGGAGTGAAAGACGAAACTAAAACTCGGTGTTTCATGCGTGATTTATGGTGTTTTATCGCTATACACGGGCGGAATAACGCGGAAAGTTAACGCGATGTAATTACCGATTTTCTCAAACTGTCTGCCGAGTTCCACCAAGGTCGAAGTAGACTTTTGTGATATACAGTAGTGTCGCGTATCCAGAGTGTAAACAAGTGTCGGTAGAGCACGTGAGAGGAGTGACAGCAACAGGAACTGGGAGAAAACTAGCGTCTACCCTTGCTGTTAAGGTCACCCGACTCAAAATACACAGAAACACGGAAAAACTACAGCCGACCAGTGGTAAGTGTGTATGTATGTGTGAGTCTGTTCTTCCCTGTGTGGATGGGGGGAGGGGTGTGGATGGAAAGTGAGAGTGTTTGTACGTGTGTCTGTGTGGGGTGAATGGCTGCATGATTTAGTGTGTGTTAATTTTATATAAGTACCTGTATGTATGTTTGTGTGTTTTATCATTTACATTCATATCAAAACAAGTAACTGTGTGTGTGTGTGTGTAAAGGTTGCCTGTGGTCTCAAGGGTCACAGGTTGATTCTTCTGTCACGATCTTCTGCATTCTCTCTCTCTCTCTTCCTCCCCGTCTCTCTTTTTCTCCCCCCTCTCCCTTCCCCTCTCTCTCCCCCCCCCCTCTCTACCATCACTAAATCCTCCATTCACCGGTGGCAGGAAGCGACAGTTATACCCATCCAGTGTTCCATTTAATCACTCTCAAGAACATAACAGGTTGCTCGTTACACCCACGGCGCAACACTGTTAGGGAAGTGGAGAGAATTTGCCCACCAGGGAAGCTTGATATAGTCGACACACACACACACATTGACGGCCTGTGACGAATACTTGAGATGTGAGGTGATGTGGCTGTTACCTCCTGCTGGGCTGTGTGATTTGTGCAGGTGGAGGGGTAGGATTAGGAGGAGGGAAGGTAAGGAGGGAGGGATAGTGGAGAGGAGGGAAGGAAGGAGAGGACGGATTGGAGGGATAGAGGAATGAAACGAAGGAGGAAAGGTAGGGAAAGAAAGAATGAACAAAAAGAAGGAAGGAAGGAAGGGGAGGCGACGAGGATGGGAAAGTCGTGACGTTTCAGCACAGGTATTTGGTGAAGGTGAGAGGAGTCAAGAGGAATACTGTGAGGTAAGACAGGTGAGGGGCAAACAGTGTGAGGTAAGACAGGTGAGAGGTAAACAGTGTGAGATAAGACAGGTGAGGGGCATACAGTGTGAGGTAAGACAGGTGAGAGGTAAACAGTGTGAGATAAGACAGGTGAGGGGCATACAGTGTGAGGTAAGACAGGTGAGAGGTAAACAGTGTGAGATAAGACAGGTGAAGGGCATACAGTGTGAGGTAAGACAGGTGAGAGGTAAACAGTGTGAGATAAGACAGGTGAGGGGCATACAGTGTGAGGTAAGACAGGTGAGGGGTCAACAGGTATTCATCTTAACTTGCATCAATTGAATCTTACGTTAATATATAAAAATTCTAAGTTTTGATGCAAATTTGAGGGAAATTTGTAAGCAATTAAGATGATTCACGATGATTCACCTGCCTGACTACAAGGAGAATCTCAATTACCAATAACGCACACCTACACCTATATTTAATCAAGGTATAATTAACTATTTTTACCTGAATTTCATCACCTGTAATGCCAACTCTTGTTCCATCTTAGTGACAAGTTCATCATTCCTGGGGCTAGGTTAGGTTAGGTTAGTGTAACTGTTGTTTTTACCGTAAGTGTCTGAACTGTCATGGTTTTTAAGTCACCGCTAACTAGGTATTGTCTCAGCTATGCGAAACTCCCCCCAGCCCTTCCTTCTCCCCCCCTCCCCTCCCCACAGAAATTGTATCTCCAGGTAAGGTTCACAGGTGAGGGTATCTATCTATCTATCTATCTATCTATTTTACATAAGTGAGGATTTTATTTATACTCTGAATAGTTCCTGAAGTGTCTCTAGATGTGCGGCTGTAGTTGGGGTGTGTAAGGGTGTAGGTGTGGGGGTGTGGGAGGGTGTAGGTGTGGGGGTGTGGGAGGTGTAGGGTGTGGGAGGGTGTAGGTGTGGGGATGTGGGAGGGTGTAGGTGTGGGGGTGTGGGAGGGTGTAGGTGAAGGTGTGGGTGAAGGTGGGGATGGGTGAATTGGTGAAGACTGGTTGTAGTGTTTTCATTGTGCCTGTCTGTCTGTCTGTCTGCCTACAGCTATATTGTCTGCTAACTCTTCTGTCTGTGCTGCCGTCTGTCTTGTTTGTTGAGTTGTTCTGTCTGTTTGGTTGTCTGTCTATTGTCTGTAGAACCCTCTCTCTCTCTCTCTCCCCCAAAGCTTTTAACACGTTCTCGGACCAGTGTTTAAAGACCTCACCACACATGTAAACAAAATCAACAAAAGTCAATTCACGTCGTGTTTGAAAGTTTGTCGTGATGTCGTTGTAATTTTTCTCCTCCTCCTCCTCACCTGTCACGTTCATTTAGTTTACCTGTAGCTCCTGATTGTCAAAGGTACTTACGGTAAATTATATATCAGTTAGGTAAGTTAGTGGATAAGTTTATTGTTGTTGAAAGTTTTAAGAGGAGATTATATTCGTTAGTGGTCTCTCTTGATTTAGTGTTAAGGGATTACATACATACATACATACATACATCTTGATACATACATACATACATACATACATACATACATACATACATACATACATTCATACATACATACATACATACATACATACACCACAGCAAAAAACAAGCATCTCCAGCAAGCAGTAAATGAAAACCACCACAGCAACGAAAACAAAAAAACAGTAAAAATATCACTCTAAATCTCACAGTAAATTGATCATGTTTAATAGCAATCAACTCTAATTTTCTAATGAGTTAAACGTTCCACATCAAGTAACACTCATGTAGTAACAGTAACAAGTCGTTCCTGCGTTCCACCACAGACCCAAACACTTCCATACAACAGAGAGGAGACACAATGCATTAGGTTAACTTTGAGAAAATGTAAACACGAAACGTTCTCTCTGTGTTGACGTCTCATTTTATCTCTCTCTCCCTGAAGTGGTCAGTTAGTAACAGTGATGGGGTAGTGGCTATAGGGGTACTGTCACTCATCGTCACTCCTCCAATAGGTCAGTAACAGTGTTGGACAGTAGCCAAGGTGTTGTCACTTACCGCCATTCCTTCATTAGGTCAGTAACGGTGTTGGACAGTAGCCAGGGTGTTGCATCATGCCCGTCTAACACACATCCCTCTCTGTCGAAGCCAAGATACGGGTTTACTTCAGTACCTCGATCAGTGAGTAAAAAACAGAAACAGCTTTTGTTTAATACGCCACGGGAAAGAGAGAGAGAGAGACGGAGAGAGAGAGAGACGGAGAGAGAGAGAGAGAGAGAGAGAGAGAGACTTTCCGCATCAACAGTGTATTAAGTAGTAATCCTGTAATGCAGAGTGGTAATGTATGTATAGCGCACACACACACACACAATATTGTTTACGATAATTTACATCCAGTGGAACAATACTAATTTTATGATATATTTTTTCTGAGTTGTTTAATTGTTGTTTTCTAGTTAGTACAACAGTAATATAGGATTGATATCTTTAAAACGTCTGATGGAAGGATAACATATTTGTCATCGCCTTGGTTCTCATATATATCAAGATAACATTACCAGAAGGATATCCACTGTAGGTGTTTTATATATATGCGAAATATTTACACTAAGAGATATTAAGTGGGGCCCAGTTTTTGTTGATGGGCGCGTGAATGGGGGCTTCCACCCTCTTAAGTAAGGTTTATGCTACATTATACCAGTGAGTTATCTCCCACTGTTCAGTAACACAGGCATTATACGCTTATCAATCTAATTCTATTCAGTATTAGTGTCTTGAGTCAAAATAGAAAGGTGTATGATGAGGGATGGTGGGAGGCGGTGAACGCATGAGTTGACGCCGTGAACGTGAGTCACGCGTGAGGGAACACACACTACTAACACACCCACACACCCTAGTGGTAACCTTGTGGGCGTTCGTCTCTCCTTCCTAGTTCACCATTCACCTCATCAGATGGTCGCTTGAATATTTAACTTGTCTTTTCTGTTCCCTATTATAAAATAAATTAAAATACATTCATTGTTGATGGCTATTTGGATAATTTTGGTGTTTGAGCAAAGTGTGTTTTAAAGATCCGCCTGTATGGAGTCGACAGTCGCGAATGGTGATGAGGTCCTGTCTGTGTGTGTGTGTCTCTGCCTGCCTGCGTCACCATCCAACCACTTTACTATATATAGAATAACACTTGTGGTCTCTTGTGTTAAATTTTGACCACAATGCCGCGGCTCTGCTTTCAAGTAACCCGGATATAGCTACAAGAGTTGCATATTTGAGTCTTTTAATTTACTCATGTGGTTTTTATCCAGTACTGATCAACACTTCGATACACAAATTGTTACATATGTTTAATTTGTTCTTCAGTGTTATGAGGAGTCGAGACAAACGATGGAGAGGCCAAAATATACACTCAAGGCTTTAGGTTACGAGGGAGAGTTTGGTTACGCTTAACTTGTCGTAATAACTGATTGAGGAGAAGTTAGCTGAGTCAGAGAAAGTGGCCGGGCAAATACTGACGTAGGAAATATCAATATGTGGCCACGTTTTTAAAGAGGGATTTAAGACCAGGATTTTTACTCTGTTGTGTTACCCCGGATGAAGGTTTGATAAGGGTGACAAATACGTGGGTTTATTAATGTAAGAGTTTGAGTTAAGATTAAATTCCAGGTGCGTAGTCTATAGCATCGGGAAGTAAAACACACATCAAACACATCAAGATCGGTCAAAGATCAGGTCACAGAAAGGTCAAGAGGATGAAGTCATTAGTGGTGCTCGTAATTGACTTCCCTTTATGTGCCTTAAAGTGACATAATTCCGGGAAAAATAAATTGTCACCTACAGGAAATAGATCTTTTGTTGACTGAAGGCGCCCCCCCCCTCTCTCTCTCTCTCTCTCTCTCTCTCTCTCTCTCTCTCTCTCCTTCCTCCATATGCCTGCACAGTCGTCAGCCTTCAACCTTCACTGCCCATTGAACATCACCAAACTTCCTCATGACGCTCATGGACCTGGTCGAAGTTTGTTTTTAAGTGTGTGTGAGTGTGTGTGTGTGTGTGTGTTTTCACTTTGTTATCCTGACATAATTTGAAAAACAATTATTCACCAGTTATAGAGTAGTCAGGTGTACGAGCCATAAGTAGACGTCAGATTTTGTCATGTGTCCAGAGAATTTTGACCGTATCTGTAC